GGGAGAGAGAGAGAGAGAGAGAGAGAGAGAGAGAGAGAGAGAGAGAGAGAGAGAGAGAGAGAGAGAGAGAGTCACCCGCCTTAGATGAGGATGCTGGTATTGGGTTGCTGAACTCTGCGCCGTTGAGCGCTTGGCGACTGGGTCTCTGAAGCTGTTTAATATGATAATTATTAATTATTAATTTATTGTAATCTCTAAGCTGCGCTATTCTGGACTTTGCACCTCTGGTCTCCAGTGTGGACTTGGTGTGATCTCTCATTATGTGTGTGTGCTCAAGGTGACGAGCAGTGAGGCTCAATGCACTATGCCACTACCTTTCCGGGCAGATACAGTGCTGATAAGGATACGATGTGTTCGGGGAAAAGACGGTGGGCCTGGCTCCACTACAGAACACTCCATATCGTATCTGGAGCTCGTAATCCTCCTGATACATTAAAAAAATATGGACTCCTCCGAATGCATCTGGTCCAGGAACGCGTCCAAATGCATGTGAAGTGTTGAGTAGTGTAGCGAGGGGCTATACATGGCATCCCATCTGTTTGGAAAGGAAGGCGAGGAGACAGACGAGACAAAAAGAAAGGGAAAAAAAAAAAAAAAAAAGAGGAGACGGAAGAGAGACTAGCAATGACATCTCACCAGATTGGGTCGCTGTAGCGTTGTTGGTGTCTCCTCCGCAGCTGAAGTTTCATATATCTCATCAAAAGTCTTTATTGGATTCAGAAGCTCTCGTCCCTCTCCCTAAGGAGCCACACAGAAAATTTCAGAAAACAAAGAAAAGAATTTAAAAAAAAAAAAAAAAAAAAAAAAAAAAAATTAAAAAAAAAAAAAAAAAAAAAAAAAAAACAGATGAAAATTTGAAAATCAGAAAACAGAAATGAGCTCCCTGAGTGGCGTATGCGTAGAAGGGTTGAGACCATACTTGCAAGCGGACGCCGTCCAGGCAGTTCTGCACGTGCGGCGGACCGCCGGACCGGACCCGCACGGCGCACGAATGTGCGCCAGACTACCAGTTACCCCCCCAACCCCCCCCCCCCAAAAAAAAAAAACGGCCCCATCCGGTCCGGTCCGTTCCGGTCCGGATCCGTCCGGTCCGGGGGGAGGGTGCCGCACGCGGCAAAGCGGACCGGACCGGACGCTCGCCCGCTCCGTCCGCTTGCAAGTATGGTTGAGATCCTTGGTGGGTGTTTATCCCAAGGAAGATGTGGGGAGGAAGGTGATAGCGCCGCCATGACATTAAAACTCATGTCATCTTCTTTCTTAACACTCTTTAAGCAAATAGCAGGTCTCGCGTAACGCTCCCGTGAGATTCCGCTTTCCGCTGTTGGGAAACGCGGTGAGACCGGTAGAGGGGCCCGACAGACACCGCATGAGGCCTTCGGGCTGAGCTGGACTGGCGAGGCCCGGGTTGGACGGCCCGATAGAGCTTTCGGGGATCCGCGCCAGATGATTTCTTCTTATTTGTAATTCCATTGTTGTTACTTTCTTACAACTTACAAGGGCTCTCTGAGAAGAGAATGCCTCCCTCAAACATTGTGGCTGAGGAGTAATCAAGTCACACAGCAAGGTCGCAGACTCGCCTCGCAGGCAATGTGTTTACCAAAAAAAAAAAAAAAAAAAAAAAAAAAAAGGCTTCACAAACTTCACATGCATCTCGAGCACACACCAAAAAAAAGCAGAAAGTACCAAGCGCGAGTACAAAAAGCTGTCACGGAGTCAAGATCAATATTACGACTCCTTCAATGAAGTTCAATCTCATCTCAAACCGACACTCCACCT